AACAGCAACAGATTCCATTTAGATAATCTCTTGCATGGAAAAAAACCCTCTTATGGAACTTGCCTGTCAAATTTCTGTGCATGTACATGTAAAACATCACAACTGATAGTGACTTTTGTTATAGTTTCTTTAAGCTACTCTACTAGGTTTATAAGATCAAATCAGTTAGACAGGGAATAATTTCAATGAATTCTAGCAAAAGAGCAATTATCAGATGAAAAATGATAGATCTGTAGCCAGCTCCAACATAGTTTTCAATTTTGCTGTGGACTTAAATCAGAAAGACATGCCTTTAAATTTATCTCAAAAGCAAAACTGGACACTTATACATTATCAAAAAAATATAAAAGGTCTCAAACTGGGCAGCACTTCAAACAATGTCTTCAAATAAAGGAATGTTCTCTGTTACTTGAAATGTTCATTCTAATGCTCTACTGTTCAAATTAGCTTATGAAACAGATATGTCCCACCCATGCCAAGTTCTCTGAAGGGTGACAGAGAATAAGAATGAGATTTTTTTTTAAAAAAGTAACATTTTATACTCATTCTAATCTGAGAGGGGAAAAAAACAATCCTAAGAATGTTTTGTTTCAAGAATGATCTGTATTATCATAGTATTGTGGTCAGCATTTACGCCAAAAAGCTTAATGTTTTACTCTCTCTGTTTCATCAGAAAAGGGACAGGAAAGAACAATGCTAGAGAGCAAGTTTTATTTTTGCACAGTAGACTGAACTCAGGCTCTGAATAAAAGTATTGGAGGGGGCTTATTGAAGTGATATTCAAAATATAGTACTTCTTACCTAAACAATTTATTGAGCTTTACATTTGTGAAACCTACACAGAATGAGTTCTATGTACTAGGTTGAATGTTTCTGTCTCGTTGCATATCTGCTCTTGCTTGGAATACAGTTGTGTTTTCAGACTAAGACTTAAGTTTGATTGTATTTTATATAAAATAGACTCTCCAAAGGGATTATCATTTTGACCTTATGCAGGCTGAAAGCAATGTTGGCTTGAGTATGAGCTTCTTATAAATATTGTTGGTGCTAAACTTGAAAATGGAGGGCTGAAACTGAAAATTGTGGGGCTGAGGGTAGGTGGGGTTCTCCAGACATAAGAACAGCCAACCCAACTACTGTAAAAGGAATTCCGGATTCAATTCAGGAAAAGGTAATGGAAAACTCTTTCTTTAAAGAGGTTTAAAGCAGGGGTCCCCCCAACCCCTGGCTCACAGACCGGTACTGATCCATGGCCTGTTGGAAACTGGACCACGCAAGTGGTGGGCAAGTGCACGAAGCTTCATTTGCACATGCATGGGATTTAGGTTGAGCAGAGCACGCAAAACCATCCCTCCCCTCAATCTCCACCTGCTGCCACTGCTACTGGTCCATAGAGCCAGAAAGCTAGTGACTGCTGTGCTAATGGACATATATGGACATGGCTAAAATATTTGTTTGGATAGATTCCCTGGTCAAACGTATGTCTTGTTTTACTGGAGAAGAATGCTAAGCTTTCCTAAGGAAGTCTGAAGATGATGACTTGACCAAATCCATAAGAAAGTCTAAACACTTCTTTACTTACTAATTGTGCCATTACAATTGTTTTAAACAATACATTCCATTAGAACATGGAATATGAAAAGCATAAACCAGGGAAAACCTACAATTGAAAAAAAAAAAGCAGCACATTATATTGGGCATTTTAGAAATATGTGAACATAAGTAAATTTGCAAGGCTACTAAAATCAAACAATTATATGACATCCTATTCAGAATTGGAGAATATACAAAGGAAGCAGTGATACTAAAAAAGATGGGAACCCCAAAATAGTAAATATTCAATGAGCTTTCAAGATTCTATTACTATAGCCTTTATCACTAAAGTATTTCTTGTGCATGTGTATTTCCTGACTTGGCTTATCTCAAAGGGCTGGCACCTACAGAGCTTGGAAAGAATTTTTTTCCCCTACAGGCAATGATTTGTTTATTATTATTTATTCAATTTATATGCTAATCATCTCCTTGTCAAGTGACTCCAGGTGGCTTACAACATTGTAAAGGTAAGTACAAAATGTTAAAACCTTAAATAGTAAAATAAACACAGAATAAATAAAACCCAAAATATAACGTGGTGGAGATGCGGGGAAGGGGGCGGGAATCTCCTTCCCAGTCCACTAACCACCTCCCAGCATAGTGGTACACCCCCACTGTGCCCCCACTCTGACCAAATGGCAGAATCAGATTTTGAGGCTTTTTTGGAAGGCCAAGAGGGTATGGGGGGTGGATCTCAACTTGAGGGGTATCTGTTTCCCTATTAATTTATTAATTCTGATTTCATCTTTATTAAACAATTATATTCAAAGGCGAGGAAGAGAAGGAAGAAGAAGAAAAGAAGAAGAGTTGTCACTTGCTGTTCCTATGTCCTTGCCTTGGATAATTGCCATCTCACAGAGCTTTTGAGAAACAATTGAGCAGTGGCTTTTTTTAATGCATTCAAAATTGAACCAGGGTGCTTTTTTTCCCCCTCCTGTCTCTTTAAAATGTTATTTTGCATTTCTTATTTCAAGTAGTTAGGATTGCATGTTGAATCTGGGTGAAGTTTCATTGCAAAAACCTATCCCAAATCATTTAAAACAGATGTATTTGTGTACCTTGTACGCATTTTGGTATTTAAATATTGCACACATCCCAAATTCTTGGGAAAGGACAGGAGGATATATATTAAATTCAGGAGCCAGACATAAAGTGAGAAAATGACTGAACCTAAAGCTGTCTAGTTGACACCATCAAAGTGTGCTAAGTCTGGGAACGAGACAGGATCATGAAGAGATTATTAACTGGCCAGAGATGGAATTTCAGCCTAAAGGCATGTGTGGCCTTTTAAAAGTTTCCAGGTATTTATTTCATCAGTCTTGAATACAGAATTTCGGAGTTGGAAATACGAGGTAAATTCATGAAGAAATTGGCTATACAGGTATAAGCTTCCAAAAGTTATTTTACTAAAGCAGAAATAAACAAGAATCTGTGATATGATTTGGATATCATTGTATCCAAATTCTGCCCATAAAATATGCAATAAAAATTAAGGCAAGAATGGTGTAAGATTTTGCATAGATTTAGTACATTTAATAGCAATAATAATCATTATGCAATCCCTCCCCAATGTGCAATCTGCCTGAAATGTAAATGTGTGTGTGTGTGTGTGTGTGTGTGTGTGTGTGTATTGTGATATATATATCACAATATCACAGCATTCTCCCCCAAAGTTGCCCATCTGTGCTATAAAATAGACAGCGGAGAACTGTATTCTCATCTCAAACTGAAGATAATAACAATGAACAAAATTAAAAAATAGTGACATCTTTTACTCCTGGACAGGAAAATGACGTTTCATTTCTTTTCTACAAGTTCTCGTTCAGTTTTTTGACAAATAATTTCTTTAATAAAGTATTTCAAAGGAGTTTTGAAGACATTCTTATGGATACAATGTGATGCATGAATGTGTTAGTCTTTTCTGTATCCTTTCAAGAAATCTACAAGTTAACTGTAAAATTCCAAAACATTGTGGAGAAACGCTGTTCACAGTTTATATACATTGTTTATGTATAGAGATCCTTCCATTTCTTTCTCATGTGCTATGATACGCTACCTCTTAGCTTCGTGCTTTTTTAAGAGGCAACTGGACTTTCTGGTTTTTCTTTTTGCTTCTCATCCAAGAAGCTTCTACAGCTCCTGAAAAGCACCTTTGAAGCAACCATGACCTGGATGACTGAGAATCTCCATATTTTAACTTTATTCTTAGGAATAAAGTTGATGAAATTCTACACAAGCAACTAGCTACTACTGAGTAAATGGCTTTTGAAAATAAAGGGCCTGTGACTATAGGTAATTTGTATAAAAAATGTGAGACAATCCAATTCATTTTCTTCTCATAGCATGGGCCTAATAAGTCAAAGCAACTTGTATATTTTTTCCAATGGGTATGGGAAGGGAAACTTCAGTTGAAGTAATGTGTAATTAACTTCCCCAAATGTAAACAGCAACTATGTAAATCCTTGTGTGGATTGAGCAACATTTAAACTGTAGCAAGCAAGCAATTAAATAACTCGAATTCTCAATTCAATTTTGCAATTCTAATAGAAACAAAAAATTATATTCCTGTTATTCTTTCCCTTTCAGCCATCCCTTTATTCCAAACCCTTGATTTTAAATTATTTAAATTAAAAATATTTATAGTTACAAATTATTTAAATACTTAAAAAAATAGTACACCCTGCTTTACATGATTGTCTCTTATCTTGTATGATACTGAACCAATCCAAAGTTGCTGATGGAAAAATCTGGGCAAGGGACTTATTGCTAAAACTCTTAGCCATAACATAGTTCCATCCCTTTTTGTTCATTTATTTAAAACATTTATAAGAAATATGGGAAAGTACTGGAGAGATATTTGTCCCTCTTTAGAGTAACTTAAATTGTATACCAAAGAATCAGTGAAATACTGAAAACAACAAAACAGTCAAATAGTCCTTGTAGCATTCTTACTATTTTGTTTGCTTGGTTTTTCCCTTAATTTAAAAGTATTTATTTATTTGCCAACCATCCTGCCTATATGTTGTCCTTCAAAACAAAAGTTTTCCTAGTGTGGTTTTTAAACATTTTAAAGTCACAATTAAATGTTTCAATGAAAGACAGCATAGCTATTTTAAGACCTCAATTGCTTAGAAGCATAAAAATGTGTCAAAAATGCCATATTATAGTATAAATCTACAATTATCATGATAAAGCCTGAGAACATGGAAGTGTCTTAGTTTTATACTGAACAGAGAACAAATTGCAGGCAAACTATTGGGGAGGGTATTATTGAAAACGGGGCCACCTGCTCTTTATATCTATATGTCTACACAGGAGACATTCAGAATAGGATCACTGAAGGCAATATTAGGACATGAAACAGAGAATCAAAGAGAAGGAACCAGAGTTTTAATCTGATGACTTACCATTCTGTTCCTGAAGTTTCTGAAATCATCCTCTAAGATACATTTTATCATATCTGGCTCAGATATCACGATGTACATTCGACGACCAATGTAATACCTGTATTCAGTTACAAATGAACAGAAGAAGAAGGTTCCATTAGCGACTAAAGTAAGCAGGCAGTAGATACATGGATTTCCACAAAATAACAACACTAAGTATAGATGGAAGTCACAAATATATGCTTTCAAATATCAGAGGCTAATAAAAAATTGTTCAGTACCAGTATTCATCAGAAGTTTCCTGGTCACTACTATTATAATGTAGTAAAGAATCTAGTTTGATCTTAAGAAAAACAATTTCATTCTCGATTTTCCTTTTGGTTTATGTGAGTTGTACATCAATTTCTGGAAGCAAGTTTGAGCTGGAGAGATACACAACAGAATCCCCATTCTCCCTATTCTAGGAAAGCTAAATAAAATATTAACATTTTTGCTATGCATGGGCCTAATAAGTTGTAAAGTCCCCATGTTACACTGAAGCAAGATGTGATTTTTACTTATTTTATTTTTTATTTATTTATTTTGATTTGTCAATTGCTTACAAGATAATAGGTATAATTATATACATAGTTATGAATATATGAAATGGGTACATATAAGAAAAATAAAAGAAACAATAGTACAGGGATGGTAGGCACGTTGGTGCACTTATGCACGCCCCCTACAGACCTCTTAGGAAAGGGGTGAGGTCAATAGTAGACAGTCTAAGGTTAAAGTTTTTGGGGTTTGGGGAAGAAACCACAGAGTCAGGTAGAGTATTCCAGACATTGACCACTCTGTTGCTGAAGTCGTATTCCCTGCAATCAATTTGTTTCTTTTTGCTGCGAGAACCCTGTCAACTGTAATATATTCAAGCAATCATAGATTTATACACAGGACTTAGTCTAAGAAGTAAGTCCAACCAACAGGGTTTAGCATAGTTCACTTTAATGTCAATCACACTATGAATATTACTGAATAAACAAGTAGTCTACATAGCACATAACCCAAATTCTTACAAGAATACATGTAGCTTCAATGTAATTTCCCTTTTCCAACTGTAATCTCACACTTTATCAAAGGGATAAAGCTAACCATTTGAAAGATACGATGTTCTTGACAAAAACCTGACCAATATGTGCTGCATTTATTTCAAAATATACAGGCAAGTGGATGTTTGATAACAGATCTACCTGACCACCTATAATGAGGCTAATTGTAGCAATTTCTTGTGCCATCAGTAACTTTAGAGAAAGAGCTTGCAAACAAATCCTACCAAAACACAAATGAATTTTAAAACTGGTGAGGGAAATTGAGCAAAATGCCTTTTATGTGAAGATGCCTTTATTGAGCCAATCTGCAATCAGGAAAAGAAGTATGAAGAAAAAGTGAAGTATAAAGCAGCCTACTACTTCCTTTCATCTCCAGCAGCAACTCTTACCTCAAACACTTTGCTCTGGTTTTTTCTACCAGCATATTTGCAGTATATTTCACCCAACCTTAATTGGTAAATAAAAGATGTTGGATGCACTGGAGCACTCAGGTGGAAGACAGATAGCTTTGGCTTTTACAGATTACTAAGTACAACCTTACCATAGGTAAACACCACAAATATTTTTCTATAATTCAAAGTAATTTGGTTTCCTTTCAAATTCTTATTCAGATCCTTTCAAACTGATTTGCAAACTGTGCTCAAAAGGACATGGTGTATAAGTTTTAATGAATACATTCAATTTTGTGTTTAGGCATTTGTGAAGAGGGCATTTGTCTCTTTCACTCCTCAAGTAAAACACCATTTTATTCGTCTTCATTTCTAATGTGTATATGTAATATTATTTATTGAGTATCACATTGTTTTCCTCTATGGAATGCATTATATATTTCCTCATTTCATCAACCAACAATTTCATGGTGTTGGCCAGAGTAATCAATGACGTGAGCTGCTCTGCTCCCCTATCACGCACATGCACACACAGCAAGATTTCTACAAATATTTATTCAACACCCACTCCCCCCCTGCAACAGGTACTCAGAAAGCACCCCGGTTGCACAGGTTCAGATTCTGAAATCAGCATGGCAAGAGTCACTGGGTAATTGAGTCAAACAGGCATACACAAAGTCCTGGGAAGCAGTACACAGGTCAAACGGGTTAGGATACATGGCATGAGAACATAAGGCATGGAACTGGGCATGCTACTCCAGCAACACTCAGTTCCTTGAGATGGGATTAAGTGAGCAATGCTACTGCAGCCCTTCAAGAAGGTGCCTCCTTCCGAGTAGTCTAGCTGACCAGCCATGGTGCCTGCCCCCTCTCTGTTCTACATAGCCTCGGATCAGGAGGAGACGTGGACTCCACCTCCTACTCATTGCTAAAAGGCGGCAGCTGCTCTCTGTCTTTGGTTGGAGCCTCCTGGCCAACTTGCTGCAACTGTGGCTAATCTCACTTAGCCTCCATATGACCAAGCTGAGGCTGCTCCATCAGGCTAGCACTCTCCAAGCCCCAATCTAGGCCATAACTCAGCTCCTCACTTTCCTCTCCTCCTCCTCCTCCAAACTTGCATCTGAAGAGGGATCTGAGGGGGCGGATCCATGACGCAATTAGCACAGAAGCATCCAGTGTCCGGTTACATATTGGGTTAGACATGCAGCATTCAGCTAATCCTTTCTTCCTAATTTTTTTATTCTGAAGTTTTTTATTCTAAAATTGACAGAAACAGCTGACCACTCTTTAGTTTTTTTTTAACTAAAACAAAGTGGCGAAACTGCAAATCAGACTGGGAATCCCTGTGCAAAGGAAACGACGAGTTAAATTTGCTCTTTAATGCACAGTATAAGGGAGAAAACAGGACGAACTAGAAATCTTCACACAGAAAAGCAAATATGACCTGTGATAGCTATTACTAAGACTAGCAGAATGGGAGTTAAGCTTGAAAAGAAGAAAATACAAGTGCCTTCTTGTAGTATCTTCTACTTGTTCCAAAGAAATAGAAAAGGGGAAATCAGTATGACATTGTATGGGGAAAAAAAGAATCCAATATGACTGTGAAGAAATTCTTGTCCTTGAATAAAAGCCCTATTTGAAAGTATATAGATAAGGTTAAAACCAGTAAGAAACCAAGGTGTTGCCATTGTAGGAGTTTACTACAGGCCATCTACTAGACAGAGGATGTGAACAATGCCTTTTTAAAATTCTCAAGAGGGCAGATTAGAATGGTAATTGAAGACTTCAGCTACCCTGACATTTTCTGGAGAACGCATTTAGGTGTGTGAGATAGAGCAGAATTCTGATGTTATAAATTTCATCTTTCAGAAATTTATTTTGTTTTTTGTTTTTTCAGAAAGGGGAAGAAATACAGAGGTCAACGATTCAGGACATAATTCTGACTAACAGAGAGGAATTGGTCAGTGGCCTAAAGGTACAAAGCAGCTTTCCAGAAATTTTTTAAACTGGTGGAAAAGCTTCACACAACGTTTGCTCATAAATGATTTAAGCATTGTCCTGGAATAAAGTACTGAGGGAGGCCCTACAGGACCCCATTATTTAGGCCTGAGCCATTCAACAACTCTATAAATGATCTAGGGAATGGAAGGCTAGTGCTAGTTATCAGATTTATTAATTGTATCATTTTAGGAAGATTGGCTAACTTCTTAGAGGACAAAGTACTGGTCAGATCCATCAGGGATAACATTCTATAACAAATATATCATTATAAATCTGGGTAGGCAAATCAAATATCTAGGCACAGTTTTGTGTAGTCTTGGTTTGGAAGCATTGTGTGTATGAGATGGATGGAAAATACTTAGGACAATTCACATCCTGGTCAGTGTCTTTTCTCACTTTTACCATCAGGCAGAAGACACAGAAGCCAACTGGACAAACAGATTTAAAAACAGCTTTTATCCATGGGCTGTCAGACTCCTAAATACAACTACAATCACTCAATGCATACATGGAAACAGGTGACTGGTCTCTCCCTAATTATTTGTATATGGACCATTTTCTATATTTATGTTGTATTGTATTTTTGTTATGGATAGCACCAGCAGGAGCAAAATCAATTTTCTTGTATATATGTACAATGACCATAAAGGTTATTATTATTATTATTATATACCTTATTCATTAAACATGAAAATCAGTCAACTGAACATTCAAAAATGCATCACAAATACCATTGACTGGTGCTAATGGTTGATATGGGTTGCTGCCAGCCTCCTAGGTATCAACCAAGGACCTTCTTAAGATGTACGATGTTCCAAGTAGCGCATTTTTTTTTGCAGTTCCGCTGGTGTTATTGCAGGAAGCTGCAATTTCTTGATGTGTTTTGTAAAATTCTTGGACATAGTACCAAGTGTCCCGATGATAATGGGTGTCACTGTTACATGTTTCATCCATAACCATGTAGTTTCAGTGGCCACGTCATGATATTTCCTGATTTTTTCCCAGTTCTTTTTCTTCGACTGTGGTGTCTCCTGGTACAGCGATATCAATAAATTGTACACTTTGGCTCTCAACAAACATAATATCTGGCATTTTCTATTCCAAATGGCGATTCGTCTGTATTTGAAAGCCCCACAAGATCTTCACCATCTCATTTTTGACAACTTTTTCCACTTTATGTTCCCATGACCTTTTGGCTATAGGCAGGGTGTATTTTTTACCTAATGACCAGTGGATTAATGGATTTAGCAATTCGATCATATCTAGCTTTGTAGTCAGTTTGCATGATTTTGCTGCACTCGCATATTAAGTGTGAAACAGTTTCAACTTTGTCATTGCAAAGTCGGCAATTTGGATTGTCAGAGGATTTTCATATCTTTGCTTCCATGGCATTAGTTTGTAGTGCGTGTTCTTGAGCAGCAAGTATTACACCTTCCGTTTCTTTCTTGATGGTTCCTCTCTTAAGCCATGCCTATGTCAAGTTGTTATCACATTTTCCTTCAATGTTTTTCAAGTGCTGTCCATGCAAAGCTTTGGTTTTCCATCCATTTAATCTGTCATCCAGCTGTTTTCCCTTATATTCTGCCTTTGTTTCTGTTGCTTTTATAATGTTCTCTGTTTTCACAGCCTGCAGCAAT